CTACTACAGAAACTACTATGCATTATGAAATGCAGGTACTTACGAGTATGTGTAAACACAGATACATATGGACCAAGTAAGTGAATGTGTGTATATGTATGTAGGTATGCTAGCAGTCATTCATAAAGTGTCAAGGAACTCAGAGAATATAAAGCAATTGAAAGGCACAATGTGCATAGTACCAACACAAAACAAGCTTTTCATGCGACACAACATAGTTGAGGGTGTGTACGCAACACTCATACATTAATGTAAACATACATACTTCCCTACAGACTACATTGCCATAATGACGAAGCATTTTAACATAGTTATTTTGTCATTGACAAAATTAAATACGCAAACGGAATTTCTTTGAATAAGCCCTGCGAAATTCGAATTAAAAAAAAATACCGACGAAAAAAAGCAACAAATCTAACATCAACTGTTGAATAAAGCAGTGCCGGTTGCCCATGTATTGGCAACGAATATAATGTAGACATGCATACTATTTATGTGTGTGGGTTGCATTTTTTTTTTTCGTTTTTTTTTTCTAACTGCAGCCGCACTCTGAAAAGCAGCTGATTATTCTGCAACCGCACGACCGATGTAAATGACCGCATAACCGTTAAAAAGGCGTCAAAGTGTATGGCACAAATGTAATAAGATTGGGGAAATTTCATTGCATTTATGGTTGCATTAAATTTAAGTAGATGAAAACGAAATGCTGCACTAAATTGGGTAATTTTGAATTGCATAAGTAGTTGTGCACTGGATGTAAAAGAAAAAGCTTCGTAAGGGCTAACGATCGATATGGTTCTAAAAGTTTGAAACTAAAACCAATTTATGGAGAAAAGAAAACACTACACTAAGGGGGAAAAAATATTAAAATCAATCAGAAACGTAATTGATATTACTATAAATGTCAACGAAAGTACTGTATATTGGTAAATATTCAATTTAATTACGCGCATATTAACCGGTTTTTTTTTTTTTTAAATATTCTTTTTAATATGATCCCAATGTATTTTGTCTTGTAAATAAAATTGCTGATATTAACCCAGCCAGCGAAAAAAAAAATGTGAAAATGGACCCGAAAAAGCAAAAAGAATTGTGGGGCAGAAACAATGTACAGAAAACAACCGCAAATTATTTTGAATCGGATACGTTTTTGACTGTTTTTTTTTTTTAATTTTTCGTTCAGCGCGCTTTTCTTCTGCTCTTCACAGATGCGCCTTTTCATGGTTCGAAAACAAAAACCAAAAAAAAAATAAAATAAATAAAAAATAAGGAAGCGCCTGACGGTATTCGAACCTCGTACCTTCAGAAAGTTAACAAATACTGGCACGATCCTAAGTTGGAAACTTGGATTTATATGGTTTTTGTTATGGATTGAACAAAGTTTTTATAAAAAAAAAAATAATTAAAATTAAATAATGGAAAAAAATATCAAAACTGGTTAATATGTGGATATCGTATAGTTATGATAAGCACTATAAAGGGTGTCCCGGACCACCACTCCACCCGTCCACCCCTTCTAAAATGGACTAAATTTTTTTTATTGGAAATCGAAAAATGCGAATCACCAAGTCAGGGATGCTCTATCTTTTGGGTGTATTACCGATTTTGGATTTCGACCGGAAGTGATTCAAACTGATCGCAAGTGCATTTTCTTTTAATGGGAAGTAAATGCTTTTACCACAGATTCAGATTCTGCCAAAAAAACACACCACTTTTGTCGGAAATGACTTCCGGTCTGTTAAGCCCACTTCCGGTCGTAACCGGTAGACGGTAATACGACCAAAAGATAGAGCATTCCCGACTTGGTGATTTTTATTTCTTCGTTTTCCAATAAAAACATTTTCGTCCATTTTAGCAGTCCAGGACGAGCTAAAGTTCGAAGGTCATTTAGAGGTTGAAAAAGATACTTCCGTTAAAAAAAAAAGTTTCAAACAAAAATTACGTATTTTTATGCGCAGAATACGAACTTGTGGTAAAAACATGTATATCGTCTTAAAAAAAAAATTAACTTCCGGTCAGTTTTAATTTAATCATGGCCTACTTCTCCAAAAAACCAACTGCCTTTCGGGGGCAGCTTAAAATTGCCGATATTTTGGTACTTTTCATTCAAAGTTCAGTTAAAAGATTCACAATTTCGCAAAATTAAGAATTCATTTTCACAACACGACACCTAAAAACCAAACAAAAAAACACATTCAGCGAATTTCCATTCATTAGCACAAAGTGTACGAGCGTTGTTGAAGCGCCCTTAAGTATGCTTCTATCAATGCACTCTTAGCGGCTCAAGAACAAACACTCGTGTACTACCATTACTGAGCGCATAAAATGTCTCGTTTCACCTTTTGAACAAAATGCGGCACATAAATTATTCAAATGGTATTATCTAAATGCAACGCTAAGAATATTACATGCATATATACATATGCTTGCTTTTGAGAGCCTTATGAGTAGGTAAATCTGTACATATTTGAAAAATACAAACACATATGTAGTTTCTATGTATGTATGTATGTGCATTCACCTTCCTACCACAAATCATTAATTCTCAATCTGTCTTGAATTATGCACTTTTTTTCAGCCTCAGCATAGAAGCGGATATACTCGTCCATACCTAAGTATTTACCCAGATATTTATTTCTACACATGTACGTTTGGACAACTCCATACATACATACATATATGTACACACTCGCATATCCATTGAGGGGTTGCATAAAATCATTTTGGTAAAAGTTTTAAACGCTATTTAAAAGGTTAATTCATTATGAGATATATGTATGCAAGTACCACATATGCAAGTAGATAACTTAAACGTGAATTCTAAGCACATGCATTCAGTGGCAGCCAACATATGCGAATACATGCAAATGATTATTTGTGTAAATTAGGGTGACCCAAAATAAAGCAAAGTCGGAATTTTAATGATCGCACACCCTAAGATTATCCATATACTGAAAAAATTATACCCCATGCTTTTTTATTTGAAATCAAAAAAAAATATTAAAGGTCGCCCAAAGCGCTCAAAATTTTGTATGTATTTTTATATGGGAAGAAAACAACTTTTCGGAGAAATGGTATAGAATTCTTGAAAATCAATATTTTTGTGTCTCTTCATGAGACTGCCGATAATAATACCCTATTGTTTATTATACAATTTTTTAAAACTACCGATTTTTACCCCTTTCATTTTTTCAGGTTTTTAGAGGTCCTATAAAAAATAGTTACTATGAGAAATTGGTCAAATAAATAATAGGGTATAGTAACTGGAAGTATCCTGAACAGAAACAAAGTTTTCCGATCGAAAAATATTGAGTTTCAAAAATTCTATAAATTTTCTACGAAAATGGGGAAAACCCCATATAAAATACAAGGAAAATTTTGAGCGCTTTGTGTGACCTCTAAACATTTTTTGATTTCAAAATAAAAAACAAACAGGGGTATAATGTTTTTCGGTCTTGAACTATCTATCCTAGGGGCTGAGAGCATTAAAATTCCGATTTTACTTCTTTTTTTTTTACCACCCTAGTGTACATACATACGTCTATCCGTTGATATCTGTTAAATTAAATGCATGTTTGGAAAAGCTGGGGCTCTCGGAACGTATAAGATTAGGCGCCATTGCTAAATTAAATCTTTGAACATACAGTGGTGGTCGCAAATAGTTAATCGCAATGTTTTTCTAGCTAAATTTTTATAAGGATATGGTTCATGTTTTAACAAAACCCATATACTTTTCACTTTCGAACTTTATACAGAATTTAGAAAAATTCCATAATTTTTTTCTAAATTTCGAGCTTTTTAACAGGATTATAAAATTTTAGTAAAGTTAATGCAAGTTTTGAGCGGCTAAAAAATCACATTTTTTTGCTGATGGCTTTTTCGTTTTTTTTTTTTTTTGTTTTTGTTTTTGTCATTTAATTCGCTTTTTAAAGGGAAAACTGGCGTTGACTTTTTTAGTGTTGGGCAGTATCGATCCCAAAGTACTCAGAGAACTCGATTCTCAAAAGGATCGACAGCACCCGATTTTTAGAAGTATTTATACTGAGTAATCCAAAGAACTTAGTACTCACAAACGAGCTCGAAAGTACTCAGAACTTAAAAGAACTCGAAAGTACTCAGAACTCAAAATACTCTGTTCCAAAAATCGCTGTGACACATGTACTCAGGATCAATTCAAAGTACTCAGTGTTATGTGTCGAATAGACTTAAAAAGTACTGAGTTTTTTTTACTTATTTACATTTAACGGTATTCAGAAATGATTGTACTCAATTTGCAGTTTCAATAATTTTCAAGTGCAATACTTGTACCCAGTACAGTTAGCCATTCATTTGACCTAATTTGGGATTCATATATTAATTTGAATAAAATATTGCCAGCTTGTGAGATTTCTACATTGAAATGTTACCAACATGTGTATATTTAAAGAAAGTACTCAGTACTCTGAAAAATACCCGATCCTGAAAAGTATCGATACCAAAGAACTCGATCCACAAAAATACTCGATACTTTTTTGCTTCCTTTTCGAAATAACTCTCTGGTCGTATCGAAAAAAGGCTCAAACAGCGGAAGAGATACAAGTAATTGATAAGACTAAAATACTCTAAAAAAAGGTTGCTCAAATGCTGACTACGTTAATAGTCAATATATAAGTACAGTTTAGTCTGGGTAAAGTGAACTAATTTTGGCAAGGCAATTTCACAATATCTTTTATCGAAATAGCACTGTAAAATTGACTTCCTCTACGCCAACTAACAATTGTTCACTAGCCAGAGCAGTAGACACATTAACGTTTACTCTTTCGGAACGTTAGGCGCTGCGGTGGTTCATTCCAGCCAGACTACACTGTATGCATTAATAAATATATTAGCTACAAATAATTGTCTTTAATTAAATAAATAAATTTTTAACTACTTTTCAAAATTCTATTCACTATCTCTGCGTACCTTTAAGCATGCCAAAAATGCACTTATTTTCATTTTCATTTTCAATTTACACTCACCTCGAGCTCAACAGTCGCTCAGCTTCGTCGGCAGTCATGTCATCCGGTAGACTGTCCTCGCGCGGTATTGCTACATCTGCCGCCACCGCACCGGCCGCTGCCACAACAATCGTCTCCTCCTCACCCTCCTCGGCTACTGTCGTCAGCGTTGCTTCGCTCACCTCCACTTGCAGCACTTCGTCTTCATCGTCGTCATCGTCGTCCCCAATTGCGCGCATCAAATCATCTTCATCTTCCCCAGCACTGCTGTCTGCATACTCCAGATCCTGCATATCTAAAGCGCTACATGGCCCAACACCAACGCCGACTGCAGTCGCTATAGTTGCGTGTTGTACTGCACTCAATGGTGGTGGTCGCTCAGGCAATGCCGGCAACTCAGAGCTATCGAACTCCTCCTCCTGTGCAGCCAGCGAGGCGATGGGTGTCACCACCCCCTTGCCCGCCACTGCCACAGCAATCGACGCAATTGAGCGCGTATTGCTGGTCGATGTCGAATTTGCGGTGCCGGTGCCGCTGCAGCTGCCACTACCGCTGCCGATTGATGTTGGCGAGATGGGCGGTGTTGACTTCACACTCACATCTGAGCTGCGTCGGCGTATGGGCGAAACCACACCAACTGGCGGTGACGAGATCGCCGCCGATTTCACCGGTGAACCACTGAGGCCGGCACTACCGCTGCCAATAGATTTTGTGGGCGAATGCAATAAGCTAGCTCCAACTCGTTCTCTCTCCTTAGCTAGCTTCCCACCTGGGTAGTACAGCTCAACGGCAGCTGTTGTTACCTCAGTTTTTATGGTCGCATAAACAGTCGTTGTTTCTTGCGCAAATCCGTTGGCATGGAATTTCTTGTGCATTTCAGTCACTTTAGCCGTGTCGTACAGCTCGGATTCGCCAAAAACCTCATGCGATTCACTACCATCCGGGTTGAGGCGATAGCCCACATCAACATAATTCAAACTGGGCTTCTCTGCCTCCTCATTCGCTGTTGGCTGACTGCGGTCGCATTCGTCGACGTCGGCACTAACGCCACTCACCGCTCGTCCATTGACTGTTTCAAAGTCATATGCGGGCTTTAGTTTGGCTTTGATCTCGGGTGAGGGTTCATTGAAGCCGCCCTCGTCGAGACTGGTGCTTGTAGAAATGATGCTGGGTGGGCGTGAGCCTAAGCCAGCGGCTGGCAATTGCACGGAGATACTTGAGGAGATACGTTTTGTGGATGCTGCTGTCGACGCAGACGACGATGCGGAAGATGCAGCTGCGGATAATGAACGTTGTGGTGACATGGCATTGGAATGATTTTGGACTTGAATTTGCTGCTGCTGCTGCTGCTGCTGATTTTTCATCATGACATCGGTGACATCCTGACGTTCGGATTTGTTGGAGCGTCCTGTAAATAGGCGAATGAAAGAAGGAAAATTAATTTACTAGCTGCAAGTGGGACAGTTCGATGATCATTTTATTTCAATAAAATTTATGTAGGAACTTATGATACAATAACCCAGTATCCTTTGACACACAGGGATGACCAGAAGGGTCATGAAAATCATACAGTCCAAAAAGCGAAAAAAAAAATCTTGAAAAATTCTTTAAAAAAAAAACAAATCCAATTGTTTTCCCAGTGTAATAAAAAGTGTAATTTATAAAACTGAAAGTATTCAAGCCGGTTTCAATTGAAAATTTATGAGAGAGTTGCCACCCAGAGAAAAAATTAATATTTTTTAACGTTTAAATACCAACACTATTTATAGCATAAGAATAATGTTGGAAAAAGCTTTAAACTAACACATTTTGAAATAGGGTTGCCATCTATCACAATTTAAAATAGTAGATTATAAGAATTATTCACATAGGGGCATGAAATAAAATGCACACTAAAAAACTTTATTGCTTTTTGTATAATTATGAATAGAGTCGCCAGAAGGAGTAAATGATGAAATCAATAATAAACATATAAATTCAATATAGTGTAGCACCCATGGTTTTTTAAGTTTTTTTTTTAATTTTATAAGAAATTCGTAATTTCCGAAAATTCTAACCTGAATAACTTTATTTAAAAACTAGCAAATACCCGGCGTGCTTCACTGCGCCTTAAAAGTATTTATGGGTTGTTCGATACCCGTATTGTAATATTCCATTTATTTTATCAATTTAATTGAATAAAATTTTTCAAACAGGTGGCAAAGATCCTCTAAAATGTTTTCGGTAGTAAACTTTCCTAAACCTTTTCTGCTTGATACCCATATTGCAATATTAAATTTATTTTATCTATTAAATTAAATTAAAAATTTCAAACGGGTGGCAACTTTTCACAAAAATATTTTCGCCTGTAAGCTTTCTTAAACCTCTTTTTCGGCAGCCATATTACAATATTTACTTTATCTTACCAATTTACTTAAACTACAAATTTCAAACAGGTGGCAACTCTCTAATTTTTTGTTCTATATTTTAAGTTAGACCTCTAGCAATACATCGGTTGAAACTGTATTTAATTCCATGCCTTAGTTTTCGAGTGATGCGCGTACAAACATACATACAGACAGACAGACAAAAATTCTTCAAATTGTTTGGGCTGAACAGATAGCAGACGGCCCGAACAATCCCCCATTTACAAATATAATTACTGTTATTATTTCATAACTTGATCATAAATTCATTTTAATTCGATTCGAATACAATAAATCGTAATACATATATGAAAGTTTGAGTGTGATCGAGATCAGTGCGCGTTAAGACCTAGTAGTTTTAATTCTTGGGATATTATTTCCTTATTTCTAGATAAATTGATAGCCCATTCGACAGCTGTCAACTCTCAAGGTTTTAATTTGACATAAAATTCGAGACTAGCGTGTCTAAAGCAACATTTTTGAAAATTTTTTCTTATTTTTAGAAAAATAAATATTTTAACTTGACATAAAATTCGTGATCAGGATGACTAAAAACCTAATCAGCGTTTTTTTAAGATTGCCTTATTTTTACAAAAATTTACAGTCCATTTGACACCTGTCAACTGTCAAAGTTTTAATTCGGCAAAACTCGTGTCTAGCGTGCATAAAAACCTAATCAGTGGTATTTTCAAAAATATTTTTTTTATTTCTAGAGAAATTGGCAGTTGATTTGACAGCTGTCAACTTTCAAACTATAAATTTTATGGCGTTTTCGGGCATGGTATAACAAAAATACTACGATCCGGCAGCCCTTCTAATTTGTCGCTTCTCCGACCACTGTGCAAACGCGTGGATCAAAATTTTAGATTTTTCACATTTTTAAACTACAAGTACAAAAACTAAAATATTTTGAAAAAATTTTAGAATTTGATGAAAGTCTTATCCTAGGCTGGCATTGATATGAGAGTTATCCTGCTAAAAAGCACCACTGTGCCACCTTCTAAAATGGTACCAAGCATTTCTCCAGAAGCAGTGCACAGTCTTTTCACTTCATTTGATGCGATTTTAATCGAAGTTTCAGGCATTTTTCTACTTCGAATGCGACCAATAAAATCATACAAAAATAAATTGGCAAAATTAAAAGTAAGTGGCATTAATATTTTAATCAATTAGTCTTTATTTTGAGCTTCGCACTAATTATTGATTAAAATATAATAGGAAACAAGGTCCGAATTTGGTCTACACAAGTCTTTGTAAAAATTTAAAAAATTTATATTACCACGCTTAATTTCAATTTTTCAAGCTCATTCCGCAGACTGAAGATATTTTCTCAGAGAAGTAGGATTTCTTTTCTATAATAAGGGATTAAAATAAAATAGCACCTTTAAAGACCTATACAAATAATAAACATAAAGTTGGCTACAAATCGTTGGACCAACATTTTTTCTACAAATTCCGATTCAGTAATGGTGTTTGCCGCTAAAATAAGTAATGAGAAAATGGAGGTGCCATAATCGATATCGAAAAAATCTATGACAGCAAACGAAAACCAAATACTCGATATATTGATACTGACTTCGATATTTTTGCAGCTCTAGTGATCACCCCACGATCGAATCCGCACGAATTTTTTCACAGCCTCAACATCACAGGGTGTGCGTGTAAGGTACAAATTTGCCTCTGGATAACCTAGAAGCATGTTTGGCCGAGGCCTTTACTAGCACTAGCACGTAATAGCAAAATCAGGCAGATTTATTCGCGTCAGACTCCTGCGACAAACTAAACTAAAAGGCACCCAACCCTGATTGTAGATGAGCTGAGTTAGTTAGTAATCTGCGGACATTTCTAGAACGCTGGGTTTCAAAAGAAAATGAGTTAGGGCCTTTCTCGGTTAAGGTATTGATATGTATTAGCTGGATGAGCTAGAACCTGAATGGATTTGACCGTTGCATAATGGTCTAGTTCCGCCAGAAGAACTGTCAGGGTTAGATAATTTTTTAAAGAATCTACCTGTTTGTGACAATCGCAATAAAAACATTATCTTGCCTAAGAATGGTTTAAAGTCGGTTGTTGTTGTTGCTGTTGTAGCGGCTACAATAACCTCGCCCAGATCGGTTAATATCTCAGTCGTTGTAGTCAAGTTCCGCTAACGGCAGCCCTAAGAAGCGTGCAGCCTCAATAGGGTCGGTCCACAGGGACAAAGGCGTTAGGGTTGTTGGCTTTTCCGGGCATACGAAGAGATGTTTCGATTTATAAGGGTCTCTCTGCATGCCGGACACTCACTTGGCACATCTGCGTCTAGTCTGCTCAGGTATGAGTTTAACCTGCTGCAGTAGCCAGAGCGAAGTTGGGCTATTGTGGTTCTTGTCTCGTGAGGCAGATGAAGCTTCGTCTCGTAAATGTGCGGTGGTTGTGCGCCTAGACCGGCATTCACAGGTCTGGAGTCTACACAACTCAAGACTGACTCCCTGTGAATGCCGTTCAGGGCCTGTCTATGAGCTGACGGGTCCAGAGGTTGCTTAATGAATCTCTGGACTTCGTCCGTCAGTTCATATAGATGCCTCCTGACGTGCCTCGGCGAGGGCTCCTCTGCAAGCAGCTGTCTATTTGGGTGGCCACGTCTATGGCTCCCAACCAGAAACTGCTTGCAGAGCATTGTTATGCTCCTTAACGGGCAGCATTTTCGCCTCTTCGTGCAGGTGGTATTCTGGCGACATCAGAGGGCATCCAGTCGCTGTCCTAAGTGCAGTGTTTTGTGTCGTCTGTAGCTTCATCCCCTGGGTCCTGCTAGTCCCCGGCGACCACACTGGTGCTGCGTAATTTAAAACCGGCCGGCCTATTGCCTTGTTTGTTGGCAGCAACGTTTCTTTGTCTTTGCCCCAAGTACTGCCGGCTAGCGACTTGAGGATCTTGTTTCGGCTCTTTACTTTGTTGACAATAGCGGTCACTCCGAGTATTTTGGGATTATTCACCGTCTGAATTGTTGTATCATCGACGTGAATTCCCAGTCGTAGCCTGACCTCCTTCGCCCAGATGGTGAACAAGGTCGCAGAGGATTTCGCAGGGGAGAGGGCTAGGCTCTTTGTAGTGAAGAAGCGAGAAAGCTCGGAGAGACCCGTTTACTTTCGAACACAAGTAATCAATTCCATTCCCAGTCGCCATGATCGAGCAATCGTCGGCGTAAGAGACAATCGAGACTCCCTCTGGTGGTTGAGGGAGCTTTGAAATATAAAAGTTAAACAGTAGCGGGGAAAGGACCCGACCACCGTTTGAGCCTCTGTGGGAGAGAGGAAGCCTCTATATCTTCTAGTAGCGTGGAGTGGCTACTAACCGCTGTGGTAAGTTCCACTTAACTTGAACAAAATGAAGACCGAAATAGAAGTTAGAAACATTTTATGTTAATAGCTGTACGTTTCTTGTTATTTACAAACTTAAACTGTGATCTGAAAAAAACTAACACAAACATATACACATAAAACACACATAGCTTGAAGAATTGCACGAAATACTCAGCTGGCTGAGCGATGGCGACCACTTAAACCCACACTCCAACAAGTATGCTCAACCGAAACCGAAAGCCCGCTTCATATTCGCTGGGAGCAACTTTACCAAATCGTTTTGCAAGTTCAGCAACAAAAACGGACGCAATATCGGCCGGTCTTGCAGCTTAAACATGTTGCCAGCCAAATGTGAGTAGTTCTTTATGAAGTTCTTATAGCGCGCCAGTTCATATTCGAGGAAATCATTGCTACCAGGTGTCTGCTCACCACGGAGCTCGGACGCAATGGCCTTCAGGAGTGTCGCTATGCATCCATACATTTCTTGCTGATCAGATTCCACTTGTTGATTGCAGAGCGTACGTGCGGTGCTATTGTCGCCAACACTCTTACCGCTACCCATGTGTAGGCGGCTGCCAGCACAGCAGTCCGTACATTTTTCATACGAATCTACAACTTTACCATAATTGAACATTGATGGCTCTGTTGTCGTCGTCTTGCAGCCA